AGTGAGGTAACCCAGCCCCAAAAAGACAATTATCATATGTACTCACTCATAAGTGGCTTTTAGACATAAAGCAAAGAAAACCAGCCTACAAACCACAATCCCAGACAACCTAGACAACAATGAGGACCCTAAGAGAGACATACATGGATCTAATCTACACAGGAAGTAGAAAAAGACAAGATCTCCTGAGTAAACGGGGAGCATGGGGACCATGGGAGAGGATTGAGGGGCGGGGAGAGGCAGGGAGGGGAGCAGAGAAAAATGTAGAGCTCAATAAAAATCAATAAAACAAAAATGTTACTTCCAATGCTATCTCTCAGCCAGCCACTCAGCTTCTGGGGCAGGTTCTGCCCCTGATGAGGATTCTGGGGTCTTTCCACATACCTTCCTGGCTGCTCTCTCCCCCTTTTCCCTTGACCTTGGCTTGATGCTATCAGGGTAGCTTGTTGCCTCCTTGTCCAGCCTGTCAGGACTTTCCACCAATTCACACCGTGGGTCAGAAACCAGGAAAGCTGGCAAGGTTTTCTAACTTGGTGTCCATAAACCAGGGACCTCCCTCCCCAGTATCTGTGTTTTATTTCAGTAGTAATCACAGTAAATGAGAAAATAACTAAAAAATGTAATAGTGTCAGCTCCTGCAGCAGTGTGAATGAAATCATCTCTGGATTTTTGTCTGTTTGAGGCAGAGTTTCTCTGTATGGCCTTGGCTAGACCGGAACTCTCTATAGACCAAGTTGTCCTCAAACTCACAGAGATCCGCCTGCCTCTGCCCCCTGAGTATTAGGATTAAAGACATTTGTCACCACATCTGGCCATCTTTGGATTTTTGATTTGCAGTGGAGCTGGGGTCTGCAAGCACCCCTTGTCTTTCTCTCTTTCTGGGCCCCCAAGGCATTCCCTTATTGCCAGTTATGCCTGGGTTGGTTAGACAAATAAACCCAAGAGTCTTCAATTTAAGGGTAATCCCTTTGCTACGATCCTCTAGCCAAATCTCTAAGAAGAAGGGGATCCTGGGGTCCTGGTGCTTCTTGACTTCTCCCCACCCCCTGTATTCCAATGGGGTCCCATCCTGAGCCTCTAACTGCCCACCTGGTTCTTGTGGGTGGTGCCTGTCCAGAAGTGGAGACACAAACTTTCCTTAAAAGGCAGCAAATGTTTCTCAAAAATAAAGCCTCTATTTTGTTACATAATCAGCTAGGCCCTGGCAAGCCCCAGCACTAGTACACCGACTGCCAAAAATCCAAATCTAAGACACGCCCATAATCCCTGCAGTGAGGAGGCTGAGGTAGGGGTACTGGAAGGCTGAGGCCAGTCTGGGCTACACAGTGAGACCTGTCTCAAAAAATAAAATTACACAAATATTGAGGTTCTGACGGGTCCACAAAGGTCAGAGAAGGTGGGAAAGCTAGACCCAGGTAGCAGATTGAAGAGAAACATCCCCCACCCCGCACACACATCTATAAGCTAGACCTGGATAGCTGATTGGAGACTAACATGCCCCTTCCCATTCTCCCACCACATATATCCATGTCCTTCCAGACCTTTTTTGGAATAAGAGTCCTTTGCTGATATAATCAGGATAAGAACTTTGAGATGATGTCCTCCTGAATTAGAGTGATATTTCTTGACCAGGGTCATTCTAAGGAAAGAGAGCACACAGTCAGAAGAGCCCAGGGAAAGACAGTCACCGAAGGCGACAGCAGAGACTAGAGAGGTGCAGTCACTGACAGGAAGAGGCAGATGCAAACTTTGGGAATGTGGCCCTGCTGAGACCCAGAGGGTTTTTTTTTTTTTTTCTTTTTACTTCTGGCCTTGAGAATTAAGAGAGAATGTGTTTCTGTTGGTTCAAGCTGCCCAACTTGTGACAATTTGTTATAGCAGTCATGGGACAGGCACACCAGAGATTAATGATAACAACATGTCAAAGTGCTTGAAGGTCCCAGCCAGTGTCTTTGAAGGGCCAAAAGTCCCCAGGATCTCGGTCCAGCAGCATTAAGAGTTTTACCACAGGCTTCCCAAGAGCTGCTGGCAAGTGGCCTCTAGAGGAAAGAGATCGAGATGGGAGAGGCAGAGCTGACTCCAAGCCCCTCAGGTGTAAATGATACCAAAGTGAACCCAAAGACAGGTGCTGGTGGGGTGGAGGTGAGGAGCGGAGGTGTGGCGAGGATTGGGCAGCTTAGGAAAGGCTGTGAGGACTGAGTAGTTGTCTGTCCCCATTCCTCCCCACCCCCCACACCCCACGCAGACCGCCAAGGTCTTCTGGAGCTAGAGTTCAGAGCATCTTGGAAAAACACAAGTTCAGACGTCTGGGCAAAAGTAATCCAAACATGACTTTGAGATGGGCAGGAATAGCCAGGCTGGAGAGAACGGGGGAAGGGCAGTTGAAAGAGACTGGGCATGAGGTAGTCTGTGCAGGCTCTCTAACTTTGTGGGGATCTCAGAGAGGGGAATAAGAGGCTTGAGATTTAGATGGGAACCCCAGAACTAACTTCACTGGAACAGACCACCAAAACCAGTGAGATGTCACTGCTTCCAGAGAGGCACAAGAGCGGCTTGGGGGTTCGGGAAAGCAAAGGTCAGAGACTTCCCACACCTGTGTCAGATCCTGGCCCTCAGCCTGGGCCTGCCTCCTGAGAGCCACTGCTCTCAAGCACAGACATTCTGTGGGCCCGTGTTTCCAGGGTATATATGTAGGCAGTGGAAACGTACACAGCATGGTTCTTTCTCCTTAGCATTAACGCTCTCTGAACTCCTCAAGGCTATTGTACCACACAACCCTTTTATCTTCAGGACACCTAGTATTGGATGTATCAGAGGAAGTGACATGCCTTACTACCGTCCCTGTGATAGGCCTTCCCCTTCTCAGACTCGCTCTGCGCCACCTTCCTACAGAGACTACCCCAGTAGAACTGTGGGGGTGACTAAGTCAACTGAGATATAAAACCCAAAGACAGTATTCATATATGAATCTTTTTTCAAATTTTATTTATTTATTTATTTTTAGGGAGGAGGGCTCTGGCTGTACATATGACTTCATCCAGAAGAGGGCATCAGATCTCATTACAGATGGTTGTGAGCCACCATGTGGTTGCTGGGAATCTAACTCAGGACCTCTGGAAGAACAGCCAGTGCTCTTAAGCTCTGAGCCATCTCCCCCACCCCATATATGAATCTGAAGTCTCCATTCTGTGGAGTCCAAGACTCCTCCCCAAGAAAGGCAACTCCAGTCAAGCACATGTCAGTCGCACTGGGCCCTGGACCTACCCCACGAGTACACATCCTACTGCTAGCCCTGCTGCAAAATCTACTTCCAGTTCCCAGAGAGCCTCAAACAGGTCCCTCGGCATTCCAGGAGCAACCTCTTCCCTCTCCACCTGTCCCGGGAGGATACCTATAGCACATTCAGTACTCACGAGTCACAGCTAGTCCAAACTATCCTCAAACTGGAGACCCTGCGTTCTTAGTACTCACGAGTCACAGCTAGTCCAAACTATCATTAAACTGGAGACCCTGTGTTCTCAGCTTGGAGCGCTGACAGTCCAGAGGCATGCCGCCTTGCCAGGCCAAGTTTTAAACCTATATTTGGCTCCTCTTGCCATCTTTCCCTCCAGTATTATGACGTTGATTGTGCTATTTAGCTCACACAAATATTCCCGTGGGGCTGGAGAGATGGCTCAGTGGTTAAGAGCCCTTGCTGGTCTTGCAGAGGGCCTGGGTTCAGTTCCCGGCCTTCCTAACTCCAGGTCAGGGAGATCCGGCACTCTCTTCAAATTTCCACCGGCACCAGGTGTTAATCCAAAGATGGGAGGAGAAAGACCACAACCCAAATCATCATGGCCAAATTAATTAGAGCAACCAACTAATTAAAGCACGTTGTTTTATTTTGTGAACACGGGCTGCCTCCCTCTAAGGTGGGGTTCCAGAGGTCAGCACTGGATGTGAGGAAGACAAGGCTTTTATTTATTTTATTTTTTAAAGACTTATTTATTATGTATACAACATTCTGCCTCCATGTATGACCACATTCCAGAAGAGGGCACCAGATCTTATTACAGATGGTTGTGAGCCACCATGTGGGTGCTGGGAATTGAACTCAGGACCTCTGGAAGAGCAGCCAGCGCTCTGAACCACCAAGCCCTCTCTCCAGCCCGAGACAAGGCTTTTATAGCTCAGGGTAGAGGATTTACAAATGGAGGATTTGACAGGCAAAATAGGTGGGGTTGTAGGAGCAGAACACAGGAGGTGGTCCAAACAAGGTCATCACAACAGGTCATCCTAAAACCTTTTGAAACAAAGGTAGGGTTGTAAGATGGCTGTAAACAACTTCCCGAAACAAAGACCGGATTTCCATTCCCGGAACAGGCAGTACAGAACTATGTGGTTAAGGTGGGGCATAGCCCAATCCTTGAGAAACAGAACTTTAATCATAAACAGAACCTAGTTTATTTTTTACTATAAGATGGCTTTTAGGCCTAGTTTATATCCTCTCTTTGATTCTATTAGTTAGCATTGGAATTTCCATGCTATCGTCTCAGAATGTCTATATAGTCTACCCCATGATAAAACGTGTACGTTGGGAAATATCTGAAAAACCTAATGGTGAGGGGATGTAAAGGAAAGGAAGGTGGTTCTTTGCAGGCATACATGTGGTGCACATACGCACATTCAGGCAAAACAATCAAGCACATAAATCTTTTTTTAAAAAAATATTTACTTATTATGTACACAATATTCTGTCTATGTGTATGGCCGCAGGCCAGAAGAGGGCACCAGATCTCATTACAGATGGTTGTGAGCCACCATGTGATTGCTGGGAATTGAACTCAGAACCTCTGGAAGAGCAGACTTAACCTCTGAGTCATCTCTCCAACCCAAGCACATACATCTTTAAAAAAAAAAAAAAAGTTTAGGGACCAGAGAAATGACTTGGCAGTTACTCTTGCAGATGACCTGAGTTAGGTTCCCAGCATTCAAAGGGGCAGCAGCTCACAACTACCCTTAACTCCAGTTCTAGGGATCTGACATTCTTCTCACTCAGTAGGCACCAGGCATGCACGCGTTGAACAGCCACACATGCAAGCAAAACACGTACACACATAAAATAAAGATAAATAAGTCTAATAAATAATTTTTAAATAAAAAACTCGAGTTTCTGCCCTTTTAGTTTTGGTTTCTTTTCGGATTTAAATGTTTGCTCCATCTGGATTTACTTGATGTTAAGCAATGACGGAGGGGGCCAATTTCTATTTTTCCAAGTGGACGGCCAGCTGTCCCTGTGCCGTTAGATTGGAAAACTTCACACTCCACCAGCTCGCAGACTACGAAACTGCACTCCTCCGCACACACAGTGGCTGCAAAGCAGGCGCCGCGTCACCAGCAGAGGCAGCCGGTGCCGGCTAAACCGAGGCACCGCCCTTGGGGGTGTGGGGGGGCGTTGTAAGAAAAAAGGAAAGGTGAAGACCCCGCCCCCAGAGAAAACAAGGCCCGCCCACTCGAAGGCTAAAGCCCCGCCCACAAGCCCAGGCCCTCTCCTCTAAGGTCTGCGAAGCCAATGGGGCTGTCCCAGAGAGCAAGTCAAACATCCGGCGAGTCCTCGGGCGTTATTTGCATAGAGGCGGGGCCTCAGGGGTGGAGCCCAAGCCATTTCAGAGCGCGCCTCATTTGCATAGAGTCCTCCACCTCCCGCCGCGGAGCAGGCACTACTTCCTCTCCTCGCAAGCTTCCTCGCTGTCCTTCCGCCTTCTCTCCCGACCGCGGTTTCCTCGGTTCTGCCGCCTTCCGTGCCTCCTGAGTTCCGTGTGCAGATGCTTCCCAAGCGGCGGCGAGTGCGGACCGAGTCCCCACACCGCGCTGTAGCTTCCTCCGCGCCGCCGCCGGCGCGCTTCCCGGGTGTGGCCATCTACCTGGCCGAGCCGCGCATGGGCCGCAGTCGCCGGGCCTTCCTCACGCGCCTGGCGCGGTCCAAAGGCTTCCGCATCCTAGATGCCTACAGGTGTGCGGCTCCCGCGAGGGCCCGGTGTTGGTGGGATGCCAGCCTCGAAGGGAGGCTGCTATATAAGCCGGTCCCCCTACCCCTCCACCCCGTGTATGGACCCACCGTGGCCCAGGGCGGGAGATGATTCACCTGCGGCTTTGGGTTCTAAGCCAGCCCTGGCACTTCGCGGTTGCGGTACCTTCCTCCAGCTCGGGAGTTCCTCGGTTTGAAAGGGTGCCATCTCATGTCAGAGGCTTCTTAAGACTTACAAGGAAAAGTAGTTAGCCTATTTGCTAGCTGCTCGCCCTCCCATTACGTCCTGAGTTTGCGGAAGTCACCAACCAGCTCCAGTAGAGAACATGCCCAGGGCAATGGTGTAACTGTGCGATTGAGACTAATAAAGAAACTTGGAACCTGTGCCCCTCTGGCTGGCTAACTTGTTTGCACCCCCCTCCCAATAACGAAACATTACTAAAGGCGCCAGTAAAGAGTGGAGAAAACAGCTTGGGTTGCACACAGTTCTACATTTTTACAACAGCCTGACAAGATCTCCAATGTAAAGGAAATTCAGAGAGACGGCACTTTCCCTGCAGCAAGAATTTGCCTACTGGGGTTTGAACAAATAGAGCAAGACTCTTGTGTCTGTATTTAAATCTTAGCAGAGCAGGATGCCTGCCTGTGATCCTGGTGCAGGAGTGCTGGAGTTCAGGCCAGCCTGTCCTCCACAGTAAGTCTCCAAACAGTCAGCACTGAGATCAGAACCACCTGGCCCTGGTCCCTACAGCAGGCCTTTCCCTGCGGCAGAGGGTGGCAGACAAGTTAACAAGTCAAACTGGCTTGTGAGTGTGGCTGTGCTAAGAACCCTGTGGGAGAGTGAAGATGTGGTCGTTCATCAAGGAGGGCTGGGAAGGCTTTCCAGAGGAAAGGGTGTTTGAAGAATGCAGGGCAGTCACTGTGCAAGAGCCAAGGCTTAGGATAAGGGCGGGCAGAACTGCAGGGGCCCTAGGTTTCATTCTGCTCTTCCCCCAGCTCAGAGGTGACGCATGTGGTGATGGAGCAGACCTCAGCCAAGGAGGCCACCTGCTGGCAGAAGAATATGGCTGCTCATCACCCAGGCGGCCCCCAGCCAGTTCTGCTGGACATCAGCTGGTTTACAGAGAGCATGGCAGCTGGGCAGCCTGTCCCTGAGGAGGTCCGGCACCGCCTGGAGGTGAGCTAGTGAGGGACTGGCTCAGCTGGGACAGATGACACAGTAGCAGTGCCTCTGACCTCAGGAGGAGGTGGGGAGTGACTATTCTGACCAGTTGGGACATACCTACTTCCAGTGTATTGAAGTGTGTCTTCCTTAGTACTTGGGATGAACCGAGCTGGCAGGAACCTATCTTTGGGATGCTCTAGAGCCAGGCTGCTAGGAGACAGGAGACAAGCTCCCTTGCTTCTGAGACCTCAGTCCTCAGCTCACATATACAGAGCTGAGGGATAGAGTCCATGCCAGTCCTGCAGCTTCACGATGACCTGTGCCTTACCCTTTTGCAGATAGCGGAACCCAAGAAGGAGCCCCCAGGCTCAGTGATGATGCCAACTTATGCCTGTCAACGTCCCACGCCTCTTACACACCACAATACTATCCTCTCAGTAAGCCCCATCTATGAGCCGATCCCCGCCTCAGAAAGTGGGTGGTATGGGTAGAGCTGGTTGGTAGCTAAAAGGCTGAGGCAAAGTCCCATGCCCACCTTGTACCTTAACCAAGCCCCCCCCCCCCCCCGCAGGAGGCTCTGGAGACGCTGGCAGAGGCAGCAGGTTTTGAAGGCAATGAGGGCCGTCTCCTCTCCTTCTGCAGAGCAGCCTCGGTACTCAAGTCCCTTCCCTGGCCTGTCACATCCATGAGCCAGCTGCAGGGGCTGCCCCACCTTGGAGGACATTCCTCTAGAGTAATCCAGGTAGGTGCTTGTCATACTGAGTGGGTGAGTGTGTGGAGTGGGGAGTCCTGGGCCTGGTGGAACAGCAGGATACTGTGAACAGGTGGTTCATAGCCCAGTCTGGAAATAGCAGCATGCACACAGACACTGCCTTGCGGCCACAGTAAACTGTCTTCACAGATCCTGGTATGGGAGTTGTTCCCCTACCTCCGGGTAGATGAGTAGACTCAGTGGAGGTTGCGGCTGGCATTGGCGTCATTGTTAGCAGGCTCAGGGTGTCTGGGGTATTGTAAGAGAGAACTCTGAAATGTTTTTTGAGGACCCAACATTGGACAAGCCTTTTGGATACTTTTCTTTCAAGAACCCGCAGTAGCAAAAGCCACTTTTAGATGAAGTCATACATATTTCTAAAGGTAAATATTGGTATACCCTGGAACTCATATGAGGAAGGAGCCATACCACAGATTCCATTGACTGTAATAACTCCAGCCCTGGAGACCTTTGTGGCTGGAGCCCCTGCCATCCCAGCTGTGCCCTGCAGCTTTGGTTACCTCCTGGGGTTCAGTTTCCATTTCCAAGTTCTACTGTGGTGTCCCTGACACCATAGAGCCCTCCCCTTTCTTCAGGGTATGGGAGGAACTGCCGGATCTTCAGGCTGAGCGCTTTGTTTTGTCTCCTGTCCCAGGAGCTGCTAGAACATGGAACTTGTGAGGAGGTGGAGCAAGTCCGCTGCTCAGAAAGGCACCAGACCATGAAGGTGTGTGTTCGGGGAGGGGACAGCTAGGACCTTGGCAGGGGTGCACACAGCACAATCCACCGTGTGAGCCAGCATCCATCAAAGGCCTTTTTACCCAGCCTTGGGGTCATAGTAGGTCACTAAGACATAGCAGCTAGACTGACACCTGATAGGTGCCACCTGGAGAGCAGGTAGAGGCTGTTTTGAACACAGGGAATTTTCTACATCACTCAGCACCATCTGGTTTTTTTAATGGAATAGTCTTGTGTGTGTTAGAGACCACACTGAGCAAAATGTGTGCAGTAGGGAGGGGGCTGCCACCTTGCAGTGCCCCATCTCCGCAGTCACCGTGTTGTTCTTGGTGTTGTGGGTTTGCCTGTCTCCATGGGACACCTGCACCTGTCTGCTCATTGCTCACCTGATACGGAGGTCACCTGGGTGCTTTACTTTTGTCTGCTCTGACACCTTCTGCCTCCCCCTTTGTAGCTGGAGATTATCAGAGCAGTGGCCTGAGATTTGTGGCCTCCTGGGAGGGTGAGGCTCACGGTGTCGTGGAACACTGCACAGAATACTATCAGTGACAGGGAGGACTTGGAAAAGAGTCCTCCCCAGCCCCCGTGAGGTTTTTCTAGGCGAGAGAGAGAGAGAGATGCATTGGAAGATGTCAGGTATCTCTTCTATATTCTGCCTCCTGGGCACCCCAAAGTCTGAGAAAATATCCATACTAGCAGAAAATTATAGTAGTAATTAGAATTTTTTTCCAGGGTGGGGGCTTGAGACTCTCATATTGAAACTGAGGCTGGCCCCAAACTCAAAGCAAACCTCCTGCCTCTGCTTCCCAAGTGCTGAGATTATATGCATCAGGACCTCCCACTCATAAAAATAAATAACGTAGTTGTTATCTCAGTATTTTACTGGGTTTTTTTTTGTTGTTGTTGTTGTTTTGGGATTTTTTTTTTTCAATACAGGGTTTTACTGTGAGGCCTTGGCTGTTATGGAGTTTGCTCTGTATGCCAGGCTGGCCTTGAACTCACAGAGATCCACCTGCCTCTGAGTGCTGGGATTAAAGTTGTATGACACCACCTATCAGCAGATTTATTTTTTTTTAAATTTTGTTTATTTATTTATTTGGGGAAAGGCACACACCATGGTACACATGGGGGTTAGAGGACAGCTTGCAAGGGTTGGTTCTTTTCTACTAGGTAGGGTCTAGGGATGGAACCAAAACTTCAGCTTTGGCAGCAAATGCCTTACCTGCTGAGTTTCACCAGCCTATGTCTTCCTGTCTGTCTGTCTGTCTATCATCTATCTATCATCTGTTTATCATCTCTCTATCTGTCTGTCTGTCTGTCGATCTATCTATCTATCTTGAGACAATTTTGCTTTGTAATGCAGGCTGGCCTCAGTCTCCTAAGTGGTAGACTTACAAGCAAGTACCACAGTACCCGGAGCTGGTTTGTTTGGTGTTGGCGGCCTGCCTCTTGCTCACACAGCCCAAGCTGGGAAGGATCACACTTTGTAGCCGAGCCCACTCTCCTCTTGCCCTCATCTCCCAGATGCTGAGATACCAGAATGCACTCCCATATTCAAACTATGTCAGATTATTTTTGTAGATCTATTATTGAAATTACATATATACTTGCACGTGTAGATGTGCGTGTGTGTGTGCACACGTTCACTTTAGTATGGGTGAGTGAAGTTGTCAGAGGTGACAGATCCCCTGGAGATATAGGCAGTTGTAGACTCCTGGAATTGAACTCAGGCCCTCTGCAAGAGTAGCACTTGATCTTTTTTGTTTTTGTATTCTTGAGACAGAGTTTTTTTTTTGTGTGTGTAACCCTGGCTGTCCTTGCTCTATACACCAGGGTAGACTTGAACTTAAAGATCCATCTGTCGAGAGTACTTGGTAGCTTGACTGTTTCTGGGTCCCTGTCTGGTCATAAATACCAGATGGAACCAGAGGTTAGTAGCAGAGTTGAGTGCACATCCGAGTCAGGAGTGCCATACTGTGCCCTTGGAATCGGTATGCTCTGTAAGACTTCCTGCGTTCCTTCTTGCTGCTTTCTTGGGATTGGGGTGGGGGGTTGTTTGTTCATTTTTATTCTGGCTTGGTTTTGATCCCACAGAGCAGAGAATATAGTTTGTACCTACCATGGCACAGACATTCAAATAAATAGTACTGATTTGTTTATCTCTGGAAAAAAAAAAAAAAGATCCATCTGCCTCTTGAGCGCTGGGATTAAAGGCATGTGCCTCCACCGCCCAGCTAGTACCAGATTTGCGATGACAGTGGTCTGTCTTACACTGTGAGTTGACAGAGTTAGGGAAAAGAGGACTGAGAAAAGCCCAGGAAGGGCAGCGCTGAGACTGTTCTTCTACAAGACAGCTGTTTTGTTTGTTTGTAATCAGGCTCTTGTTTATAGTTCAAAGCCGCTCTGTAATTCAAGATCTTCCTGTATCTGTCTCCTGAGAGCCGGGATGACAGGCATGCATGGCCATACGTGACCTCCATCCTCCGGACACGTATTTGGTAGTCTCCACAGCTGTGATACATAGCCGCAGAAGGGTTTGGATCATGTATGCAACCTCTACTGTGGTGTGGGCTGTCCTTAGTCTCATTCCAAAATTCCTGGGGAGAGTCTTCATGACTGGCCCAAGGCAGGCAACATGCTTAGTCCAGGACACCATGGGCCACTTGGCATTTGAACGTTTGAGATCAGGTTCTCCACACTTTCTGTGGTAGATGCTAGTCAGGCCTCCAGTGCTCTGTTAAAACCACCCTCTTGGTTCACTCTTCCTTTGGTGTTGCTGTTGAAGAGAACACACAGTAAGTCCCAGCCGCAGTAAGTGGAGGCCTTTTCCTAGTGAACTAAGCACCCGGCGAGCCTGTATACAGGATAACTCTTTTGGTCTGTTGTAAGCTCAGGCCGTGCCTATGCATTAAGGGGACAGACCTCACAAGGGCTGAAGAGAGAGCTCCTTGAAGTTTTCTGGTGCTTGGGCGGCTGAAATATGTTATCCTTAATAGGGCTACTCTTAGGGTATGTGGGTTTAGTCCCCTGTGAGAGTGGTCTGGGTAGACCAGATTCATGGATTTGGTCCTCATCCTGTGTCACTAGGCATGAAGGCAACACTCTCAGGGACATCTTCTGTAGACTTTGTCTTGACTTATCCATCTCTTCTTCCACATAGCTCTTCACCCAAGTCTTTGGGGTTGGTGTGAAGACTGCCAACCGGTGGTACCAGGAAGGACTCCGAACCCTGGATGAGCTCAGAGAGCAGTCCCAGAAACTGACCAAACAGCAGAAAGCAGGTGAACTTCCCAGAGCCGCCTGGACCCAGGAGCTCTGCACAGTGAAGCCCCTGGCTCTGCTGTGGAATGTGCTGACTACCCGAGTGCCGGAGCAGCTGGTGCAGAGGGATCCGGGAGTGATTAGCCGGGTTTCCTATGGTTTTCTCCCTATAGTCCGTGTCTACCATGGCCCTTTCTCCTTGAGTGTTGTCATGGCATTGCCATGGCATCTGGGCCTCATGTTTCCTCCTGTTTGATTTCAGTTGTGTTGGGGACAGCCTTGGTCTGGGCCTGCCTGTCCAATGTGGTGTCTGGGTGTGTGGTTTTGTGGTATAGGTGCCACCACGAGTGGAAATAACATAAACCTTGGGTTTGCTATGCCTGATCTGAGTTCTTTCCTCTATTTAGTAGGTATGTAACCATGGCTTCAAGGCTAACCTCTAAGTCTCGGTTACCTTCTCTGGGAAGCAGAGATACAATAGCATGAATTTCCCAAGTGCCTCTGGAAGCCAGCAGGTGATGAGCAGGCGTTTGGTCTGTGTAGCCTGCCTGATCGCTCTGGTGGTCTTGGCTGGAGACTGCTGAAGGGTGCCATGGCCTGCCAGTGGTCTCCCTGGGTGCTGCTTACTTCACCTCCTAGAGCAGGGTAGACAGGATGGCCGGCAGCATTTACTAAGGGCTTGCTGGATGATGCTAAGCATTGCCATTCCTCATGCTTAAACCTCCTTAACTGAGCACGGAGGGCACAGAGATGCCCCTTTGACAGGCAGGGAGACACGCTGGGCCTAAGGAGAGGTGGCTGGTAGCAGACCCATCGTCGCCACCTCTTTTCACTGCCTTTTGGTTGCCTTTGACTAATGGGGAATCAGAAACCTTAAAAGTGCAGGCTATAGCCGGGCAGTGGTGACACAAGCCTTTAATCCCAGCATTTGGGAGGCAGAGGCAGGTGTTCAATGCCATGGATCTCAGTGAGTTCAAGGGCAACCTGATCTACGAAGCAAGTTCCAGGGCAGCCAGGACTGTTAACACAGAGAAACCCTGTCTCTAAAAACAAAACAAAACAAAAAGTGCCGCTGCATCTTGCCTGTGTCAGCTTCTTTGTCACATGTGGTTCTGTGAAAGATGTTTTTGTTTGTTTTGTTGTTGTGTGGGGAGTGAGCCCTATACGGTGCATGCTAAACTCTCTGCCCCAGCTCTCCGTACATAGCCTTGGCTGGCCTGAAACTGTATAGATAGACCATACTGGTCTCAAATTCACTAGAGTTTTACAAGGTACTATGTTTGTAGGGGAGTTGGGTGCAGGGCACAAGGGATCTTGTTTACTTCAATTGCATGTGAATCTACAGTTATCCCAAAGAAGAATTTAAGTTTAAAAGGAGAAGTGGATCATCTATATGATCTCACTCTGCTCTGGCCCCCACCTTACCCTCTGCCTTTCCCACAGCCACGGGGTTGTGGTGGCTGGTGTGTCCTGAGGGTGGGCTCCATGAGAAAGACAGGCTGTGCTGCCCACAGGGCTCCAGTACTACCAGGACCTGAGCACCCCAGTTGGGCGAGCCGATGCCGAGGCTCTGCAGCAGTTGGTGGAGGCGGCCGTGAGTCAGACTCTGCCTGGAGCCACTGTCACGCTGACTGGTGGTTTCCGGAGGTAAGGGGGCCCACCGTACCTTCTGAGTATGCACCAGGCTCCTCCCTAAGATAGGGACTGGAGTTGTGAATGCCGAGGTGGCCTTTCCACTTACTGTAAGGGACATTACTTTGTGCCGAGGCCAGAGAATCAAACTTTCTCTTTCAGGGGGAAGTTACAAGGTCATGATGTAGACTTCCTGATCACTCACCCTGAAGAAGGCCAGGAAGTGGGGCTGCTACCCAGAATGATAAGCCACCTACAGAGCCAGGTGAGGCCTCCAGTGCCCTGCACAGGAGTGACCACTGACCAGCCTTCTACCCTCCCAGAACCATGGTAGCACCCGGCCACACTTGCCTCCCCTCTCGCAGGGACTGGTCCTGTATCACCAGCACCATCGCAGCCACTTAGACTCTGCCCATCTCCTGCGTCAGAACTACAACATGGACGCTTTTGAGAGGACTTTCTGCATCTTGTCCTTGCCCCAACCCACACACACAGCTTTAGAGGGGCCCCTACATCCCTGTCCAACCTGGAAAGCTGTGAGGGTAGATCTTGTGGTCACCCCCAACAGCCAGTTCCCCTTCGCTCTTCTTGGTTGGACTGGCTCCCAGGTAGGTCATGTGTTCCTTGGGGGTCTGGGCCTGGGGTGGCCCAGCCCTGCTAAAGGCAATTGTCCTCCCCATCTCTCCCCAGCTTTTTGAGCGGGAGCTGCGGCGTTTCAGTCGGCAAGAGAAGGGGCTGTGGCTGAACAGCCATGGGCTGTTTGATCCTGAACAGGTAGGTTGCCAGGAACTAGGGTTAAAAACAGCTCCCATAACCTGAATCCTGGTTCGCAATCTCAAATATGCTGTACACTGCCATGTAGTATGACGTGATCCCAACTGCACTGTGCATTAACATGGCCTGGTCCCAGCCGTGCATGGGAGCATGGCCTGGCTCCAGCTCTGCTGCATGGGAGCTTGGCCTGGCTCCAGCTCTGCTGCATGGGAGCATGGCCTGGCTCCAGCTCTGCTGCATGGGAGCTTGGCCTAGCTCCAGCTCTGCTGCATGGGAGCATGGCCTGGCTCCAGCTCTGCTGCATGGGAGCTTGGCCTAGCTCCAGCTCTGCTGCATGGAAGCTTAGCCTGGCTCCAGCTCTGCTGCATGGTAGCTTGGCCTGGCTCCAGCTCTGCTGCATGGGAGCTTGGCCTGGCTCCAGCTCTGCTGTATGCAGTTATGGAATAGGCCCCAGCAACTAACCCTCTTGTTCCTTGCAGAAGACATTTTTTCATGCAACTTCTGAGGAAGACATTTTCAGACTCCTGGGTCTCAAGTACCTTCCTCCAGAGCAGAGAAACGCCTGATCCTGCCCGCTGGCCGCCACACCCACCCACAAAAATGAGGGGTTTCCTCATGTTTGACCAGGGATGTTTCTAGACAGAAGGTGGACTGCCACCCCATGGCCTTGCCTGTGCTAATGGAATTTTCAGCTGCGGGCACATTGGCAAGATGTGGCCTTGAGTCAGCTTTCAGCCTCGCACTCATCAGAGTCAGGGGCTCTGAGCAGTCCGTACATCATGGAACTATGGCCGTCTGATGTCTTGCTTCTGGTCCTGGTATGAGCATTTGGTCTATCCAGCCGTGGCTGCCGTCTACAGCAGGGTACCCTGTTCGATGTGCTAGAAAAGAGACACGTGTCCCTGCCCCGTTCTTGAGCTGATATAGGAAATATAATTTATGGCTGTGAGGTGTTACACAGAGCAAGAATCCTGACTGAGGGCTATGCCGCCATGTCTAGAGGAAGAAGTGACCTAGGAAGGAAACCTCCTGTGCTGGGGCTGTCTGGCACCACCACCCACAGAGCTGGGAGCCAGACTTCATTAGCAGCACAGCCCCAGAGTTAGCACCCACATTCCTCCTCTTCCACTCCTCCATACTCCAGCCTGAGCTGAGCCAGGCCTGCCCACCCACAGTCTCCTGTGCATCCACAGTCCCAGCAGTGACGTCTGGGAGGGCTGGTTCCTCAGACAGACAGTGCAGCCCAGCCTGGCAGCGGTACTGAACACCAGCAAGATCAGTGGGCAGCAACCGAGGGCTCTCGCCCTCCTGACTCGTGAGGTGCAGGCTCCCCTGTCCTATCTTTTCCGACAGCCCTGCAGCAGTCCCAGACCTGTAGTCCTCACGCAGGTCCTGTGGCTCTGGCATTTCTGTCGTCTCTTCCAGTGTCAGCTGTGTTCCTCTAGTTCAGTCTCCCCCCACTTTCCCAGTTCACCGCCCGTCCCTGTGTGCAGACCCTGTGTGACCAACCACGTCACCTTCTCTGAGGCAGACATACTGAAGTGCTCTCTAGTTCCTCATCCCCAGGCACCTCTGGCTCAAAAGGCCCTCACCCACTGTCCTAGTGCCCACTCTCGCTGCCTTCTTCAGGGCCTGACAGAGAAGAGCCTCCTAGATCAACCACGGCATTAGCAAGCGTTTTAAAGATTACCATTCAATAAAGTGCATTCTTACGGCGTATGAGCAAGGCTTACCCCAACTCATGCATTTGGCTTCGTCCCTACAAATAGGTCACAGATGTGCAGCTAGACTTTGTGTCAGCCATTGTTGGTCTGGGTTAGCAAATGCTCTTGGGGCCCCTGCAGTGTTACATGTATCAAACTTAGTACTCCAGCTGCTACACGTTGTGAGCATTCCACTGTCCACTCAGGTCCTGAAGGTTTACACTGGCTTTATGACTGTGACTAGGACTGCAGTGGGCATGCATGTAAGTGTATCTGAACAGTTGCTGGGGTAACATACCCCCGGGACATTGCTGTGCTTGGATTTCTTGTTTCCTGTTCCGTGAGTTTTCCCCTTCTAATAAATAAAATATAATTGTTTTATCCTTAGCTAGCCTAGTTATTTCAACATTGCCACCCCTTAATTCTAGACTTGTGGATCCTGGCTATGGGAGAAACCATACCATATATATGGGATTTTAACTCAAAGCCTAAACTGTCTTCTGGAGAATCCTGTCCCAGCCCTCCAAACTGCTGCCCCCTAGTAACTGTGTCTTCAAAAGACTGTTCCAGGGGGCTGGAGAGATGGCTCGGAGGTTAAGAGCACTGACTGCTCTTCCAGAGGTCCTGAGTTCAATTCCCAGCAACCACATGGTGGCTTACAACCATCTGTAATGAGACCTGGCGCCCCCCCTTCTGGCATGCGGGCACACATGGAAGGAATGCTGTACACATAATAAATAAATAAATCTTTAAAAAAAAAGACTGTTCCATCTTTCTATCAGGTCAGCTGCTTCAGGATGGTGGAGAACATAGTAAGACCAGTGGGTTCCATGGTTATGGCCACTGTCACACTTCTTTAGCTGTGAAGCTCCTTGGTCAGAAGCAATACCATGATGGTGGAGAAGGCATTCTGTAAGTCCACAGATGGTAGTTTTATGACAGGAAGCATGATGTGCAGGAAGGCAAACCCGTAACCAGAATAAGTATCTACTCCATAATTCACAGAACCATCAGTAAAGCAGGCCCTGCTCTCTTCCTTAGCAGATCTGGTACAGCCCATGAGGCTATAGGTGCATGCTCAGCAGCAGACTGCATTGTATTGGGATAGAAGCCATTTGGACGACTTCTTCATGTAACTCCTAACAGGAGACTTCAGGACCCGCTTGGGCCCAATCTCATGTATACCACTTCTATTTAATAATAGATTGCTGCTATGCAGGTCCCACTTGACGGCTCGATGGCTCAGACAACACCCAGCTCATGATAGGCAGCTCAGGTCACATGCTATCTTAGTAATATTGATGCCAAACTCTATGGCCCAATAGCAGGCCAAGAGCTGTCTCTCAAAGGGAGATTAGTTGTCTGCAGATGATGGTAGAGCCTTGCTCCAAAATCCCAAAGGTCTTTTCTGTGATTCACCTATAGGGCCCTGCTAAATGCTCCAAACAGCATCCCTAGCTGCCACTGACACCTCAAGTACCATCGGGGTCTGCTGGATCATATGGTCCAAACGGTAGAGCAGCCTGCACAGCAAGCAGCCTGGACCTGCTGAAGAGCCTTCTCCTGTTCCAGGCCCCATACAAAGCTAGCAGCTTTCCGAGTCACTTGGTGTATGGGCCGGAGTAACTACCAAGTGGAGAATGTGCTGTCTCCAGACTCCAAACAGGCCAACTAAACATTGTGCTTCTGTCTTGGTGGTGGGAGAGGCAGGTGCAGTAACTTATCCTTCACTTTGGAAGGAACATCTCTACATGCCCCCCCCACTGGACTCCTGATAATTTCACTGATGTAGAAGACCCTTGAATTTTGGTTGGATTTATTTCCCATCCTCTGATGCGCATGTGTGTTACCAACAAGTCCAGAGCAATTGCTACCTCCAGCTTACTTTGTCCAGTCAGCATAATGTCATCAGTATAGTGAACAATGTGACACTGTGGAAGAGACAAACAACTGAGATAACTCCCAACCCAGTTGTGACACAGGGCAGGAAGTTAACATGTCCTTGAGGTAAAGCTGTAAAGGTGCGCTGCTGGCCTTGTCAACTGAGAGTAAATTGCTTCTGGTGGTCCTTCTGGAGAGGTTCTGAGAGAAATGCATTTGCTAATCAAAAGCTGCGAACCATGTACCAGGAGATGTGTTAGTCTGCTCCAGTAGACACCACATCTGCTATAGCAGCTGCAATTGAAGTCACTACCTGGTCAAGTTTTCAGTAGTCAACTGTCTTTCTCCACAATCCATCTGTCTTCCGCACAGGCCAGAGGGCACAGTTAAAGGGAGACGTAGAGGGAACCGCCACCCCTGCACCTTTCAAGTTCTCCACGGTGGCACTAATTTCTAAAGTTCTTGCACGGATGTGATACTGGTTTTTTTTTTTTTTTTTTTTGAGACAGGGTTTCTCTGTGTAACAGCCTTAGCTGTCCTGGAACTAGTTCTTATAGACCAAGCTGGTCTTGAACTCACAGAGATCCGCCTGCCTCTGCCTCCCAAGTGCTGGGATTAGTGATACTGTTTTTAACTCACTATTTTCCTTGTCAGGGGCAGCTCTGGAGTGGGACTGGAGAAATAAGCACAGGTGAGTTCAGGGACCCACCGGACCTACTGAGTTGGCCTTCAGCCAACCTCCATTAATCCCCTGAACTCCATAGCCCTTACTGTATCTGGATGGCCACAATGTTACTTGGGGTCTCCTGGAATCAGTATCAATTCAAGACCTTAGTTAGGGTTTTATTGCTGTGAAGCGACACCATGACCACAGCAACTCTTACAAAGGAAAACATTTGATTGGGGGTGGCTTACAGTTCAGAAGTTTAGTCATTTATCATCATGGAGGGGCATGGTGGCATGCAGGAAGTCATGATGCGGGACAGGTAGCTGAGAGTCCTACACCTGGATCCTCAGGTAGCAGGAAGTGATAGTGGCACACTGGCTAGGCCCTAGTGATACACCTGCTCCAACAAAGCTGCATCTACTCCAACCAGGCCACACCTCCTAATAGTGCCACTCCCTATGGACCTATGGGGGCCATTTTTATTCAAACTACCACACCAGTAGACCCTGGAAAGTCTGATGCTTCCTTTTCCCCCAGTGTACAGTTACCCTTGTAAAAGGTCATAGGTCCTTCTGGGGAAAGGACTGGAGAAAATTTAACAATAAAACTCTTAGATGTTTTTTATCAAGGCTGTTTCTCAGGGCAACTTGACTGTCCCTTCATTCAGGGGGTCCTAGGTCTGCAGACTGGCTCAAGTCTGTTTCATGCCTGGAAACACCATTATTAAGTAGCCAGAACCAAAGGTCAATACAAGTCATGCTACCATGAAAATCTCTTTGCCTGTGCTGCCCATTATGGCTCAGGCTATTATAAACACTGCTTTGTCCATTTTCATAACCTTGATTTGAATATTCACTGCTGCCACCTGGGTGGGCCCTATTCCCCAAGGCCCAATTAAAGCCATTGTATTTAGTTCATCCAATTAGACAGCAGCACCTCCAACCCTAAGGTCTGGCACAATGAAAAGAACAACAAGACTCTTCAAATGTGCGGGTGCCCCCTCACCATTTCGTGTCTTATAGGATCGGTGAAGGGTATGTCTTCTGGGCCTTCCTGCTGCGGAAGATTAGGTTTTAACACAGCATCCTTTCATCTAACCCAAGGGATATCAGGCATCCCAACTCCTTTTCAGTAGGCCATCTGTCAACAAATGCTTCAGGGCTGGAGAGATGGCTCAGAGATTAAGAGCACTGGTTGCTCTTCCAAAGGTCCTGAGTTCAATTCCTAGCAGCCACATGGTGGTTCACAACCATCAGTAACGAGATCTGTTGCCCTCTTCTGGCCTGCAAGCATGTATTCAGGCCAGAACACTGTATACATAAATAAACAAATAAATAAATCTTTTTAAAAAAATCAACAAATGCTTCAACCAATCATTCAAACAAACTTATGATACTTTTTTTGTGTGTGTGTGTGCAAGCTTCTGTTAAATTTAGAATCTCTACTCAGGGACCTACATCAACAAGCTCGGTTTTATGTTCCTTCCACCATTATTCCACACTCTTGAAATCCTTTCCCACACATATTCCCCAGATTTCTGCCTAAATTAATTAGCGAACTCACCATTCTCTTTAGTAGTGTAGCACACCTCCTCATGGACTTTTTACCGCCCCTCTAGGAGCCTGCTTTAAGTCTGGCTATAAGTCTAGAGGCAGCTATTGGTGGCCCTGAGAGACATCTGTATTGTCTTGCTGTGGACTATTATTTTAACTGACAAAGACGTGTCACGTTTGTTTATGCTGCAGAATGTTACTTTAGCTGTAAAGGTGTGTTACTTTTGTTTATGCTGCATTTGTTTAAAGATGTAAGGGTGTGTGTTTGATTATGTTAAGAGGTGCTTCATCTGTTTCACGTTGCCTACCTAAGGCTCCTGATTGGTTTAATAAAATGCTGAACAGCCAATAGATAGGCAGGAGAAAGGATAGGTGGGCTGTCAGGCATGGAGAAAAAATAGGAGGAGAAATCTAGGCTAGAGAAGGAAGAGAGGACAAGGGAGACACCCAGGGCTGAAGCCAGAAGCTAGGTATACGCCAGATAGCAGACACAAGAAGCAGAGAAAGATATACAGAAAGAACGTGAGCGAGAAAGGTAAAAATCCCCAAGGCAAAAGGAAGATAAAGAGAAACTGGTTAATTTGAGCTAAAAGAGCTATCCAGAAAAGAGCGAAGCTAAGGCCAAGCATTTAAAACTAATAAGAGGTCTCCATGTCATGATCTGGGAGCTGGTTGGTGGCTCAAAAGAAAAAGCCTGGCACAAAGTCTCCTTCAGGGAAAATCCCTGTTGGCCTAGCATACAATGAAGATCGTTTTTCTCAGTCAAAGGAGGAAAAGGAGATATCTCAGGGGACAGAGGTGAGAGTACATCTTCTGCTGAGGTGGAGAGACTACCTCCCCAGGTGAGATAAACCCTTGAGAATCTGGGAGTTCAAGATTCTCAGCCTCAATAGGGTCCTCCCCCAAGTTACAGGTTCCCATTTTTACCAATTAATTTCCAACCTCTGAGCCTGGGACTTAGATTTTCTTTGTAATTTAGCCAACCTTATAGTGCAGGCTTTGGTTTGATATTCCGAACCTGAGCTCTGTGGCTGCTGAGAAGATTCTCTTGCAGGACAAACTTAGAAACCTTTATACTGTTTGTGTGTACCTGGACCTGGTCAGTTTTATCACTGAGTTTATTATCGTCCTTCACCATATTCTGAGACACTAGGAGTTGGTTGTCTTATTCAGCTTGTGTCGTTGTGAAGAGACGCCATGACCATGGCAACTCGCATAAAGAAAATAATTTAACTGGGGACTTGCTCTAAAGTTTCAGAGGTTTAGCCCATTATCTTGGTGGCACA